AGTGGTAAACAAGCTCTACCAGATAAATTTCACTCATCTCATGGAAATTTAAATAGGCCAGCATGAAAAATGCCTGCTCCCACTGGGCTGGTGACAGGCATATTATGGCAATTTCTCGCATTGTTGGTGTAGGTACTGAAAAGGAGTGAATTATGACACGCATTACCTTTTATAATTCAGAAAACCTACCAGTATGTTGTATAAATTGCTACTTTGCTGAATGATGGAATAGTGTCACAGTGTATTGCCTGTGCAATTTGCAGTGCATTTCACTGCATAACAGTGCCAAGTGTGCGTAGAGTTACAGTCTTTAATTCCAAAATATTCAGGAATGTCACATTTTCTTCATTCTTCAGATAGGGCGTTATCTAATTGCGACCTCTGTGGGCTGGGTAAGCGTCGCCTGAGTTACGGTGGTGTAATGGATTTGGCTGTGGTCGGTGGGCTCCCAGAGTGGCGGCAGGGGCGCGGGGAGACGCCGCCCGGTCCCACGGCGCCCGCCGCCTCCGCCGCCCGCCGCCACCGCCCGCCGCCGCGCTGGGTGGAACGACCGGAGTCGGCGGCGGCGGCGGCGGCGGCGGCGGCGGGTGGTGTGACGGCCGCCCGGGCGTGATGGGGTGGAGCCGCCTCCTGAGACCGAGTCCAGACCATCAGCTGAGCGGAGCCAGGTGGTCGGCTGCTCTATCAGAGACTCAAGGTGACCGGATGGAGGGAGGCTGAGTCCGCCGTACCCTCGCACGCAAGAGATTACTGATGTGCACATGCGCTGTTGCACACGCAATAGACTGTACATGCAATGATTTGCGTTTGAATAAGATGATCTGTATGAATGGGTAAATATTTTTATTTATGTGTGGCTAAGGCCCTATGAGCGTCTATGCAAGAGTCAAATGAAAATGGTCGTAAAACAAACTAAAAAGTGGTAGGCATGAAAGGAAGGATGCATTTTTGTCCCATTGATCGAAGACGAATGGACCCTAAACTTTGAATGGAAACTGAGCGCAAACGACGTGCTGCGCCTTCCCGCACATTGATTAAACTGCGGAGCAAAAACCGCCATTCAACTATGCACTACGGCTCAATGGGTCTCCCTTCTATGCAGACCACCATTAAAGGTAACTTCGAATCATGGCTTCAACACCTTACCAGGCACCAGCTGGCTAATGGCTACTGCAGAAAAAATGGCAAAAGTAAATAGTCTACATAGATGATGCTGATCTTCCACTTACGGCAAATTAAAGGTCTTTTTGCAAACCACAAAGAAGTCCCTTGCTTCCCTAGCGCTCATGTATAGCAGCAATAAATACCTGCCGGACGGCTGTGCGTTAGTGATCTATCCGCGGCGGGAATTTCGTAGTCGCGGTGACCGGTCGGTGACCCGGGCGTATTTGTCCTGGGACTGCTGCGAATTCCGCGTCAGATAAGGACCGGCCTGGTCGGTCTGCACGGCCGGGGCGCACAGCTGACCGGTCAGTCCGGTCCCTCCCGACGGTTCTGCGGTCAGGGACAGCACTGGACGGCGGATCACCGTCCGCTAGATATGGGTCAGCGGAACCCGCTCAGACCAGAGTCCAGTTCAGACTGCGGTCTGTACTTACACCACACTAAGCCGATGGCTACCGGTATGTATTATTCAGGTTATTGCGTGCTGTTTGCGGTGGCGAACGTTGACGTTTGTGCACAGGTTCCCACTGTCTGTAGACGTATACGTCAACGACTCGAATCAACAGTTTTTCGACTGCAATGTGTGAAGCTGTATTATTACCCGACACCCGTTACAAATCCGTTCATAATCTGAGCAGCATATCTGGTATTTTTAAATTCGTGAAGCAAATATTCTACTTACAACACTGCCTATCGGATATTGCGAAGTTACAACATTACCAAACAGATTCAAAGCCGTTTGTTCCATTTTGTACGATTTCCGCGTCGTGCACAGGTTACCCATATACAGTGGGTCAGTGAGGTGTCGATGGTTGCATGATAGCACCTCGAGCGTGTCGGGATGCAGGCCGGGGACATTATTCCTCCCAGATACTATCACCGTCGTGGCCAGCGTATCTGATGGAAGGCGACCATAAATTCTGTGCCATCGTGATGAGGCGGCGTGACCGGCCCGGCTACCGTGCTGTCTGTGCCGGCAGAGAGCGCCGTGGTTTCAGTAGCTGGGGAGTCAGCGGCGCAGGAAGAGCCGTGGCTCAGCAGGGAGAGCTGACAGAGATGGTCATCGTCGCAGTCGACTGTGACCGGCAGCCCACTGGCCTCCAAAGATCCCCCGCACTTAGCACGGGGATCGCTTTCATCCGATAGGTCTCAGAAAGTAGTAAACACTTTCCCTGTCATGCAATCTCAGGCGTGGTCTCTCGTACGAAAGACGAGACTGATGTGAGAAGGTGAGCTGAGACGGAACTAACGGCTCTGCTCGCCGTCTGCATCCCAAGAGTACACAGCGGTGCTCTCTTGTGCCTTGTGGTGCGCTGATGACAGCTCAAACTATTGCTTTAATCGCTTCATTTTCTTGAGGAGTGGTGGAAAATGATACCAAAACATGGTGGTTTGTGTGAAATCCGGACTGGGGCTGCAGCGATTTGTGCATTACTATTGTATCATATTTTCCGTGATATTCTCGTAATAGCCATCTTGCTATAGTATTTCTTGCCCTTGGAGCGTAAGAAATGGCGGAGAGGAATGCTGCTTTGGTGAATTCGGACGCCTACGGAACATAGACCATCCATCATATCCAACTCCACTGACGCGGCCGAGTAGCTGTCACTCCACGGCGGACATCCCAGACATTCCAGACAGCCGCTCCCGGCGCGGCGGGGCCGGGGGAGCGGCGGGATGCGCCGGCTCGCTGCCCGGGCACCGTTAGCGTGCGTCCGCGCGTGACTCGCGCTGCGCCAGCCGTGCACAGGAACCACGCGCCGCCAGCGGCGTCGGCGCCGACACAGTCGGCGTGGGAGCCAGGGGGGAGCAAAACGTCGGCTGAGTGGCCGGAGCCACACAGAGTCGAGTCAGGAGCGTGCCTTCCCGAGGACTGGTAGGAGCCAGTGGGAATTTAAAGTCGGGAGCCAGAGGAGGGCCAAGTGAAAATTGTTTCTGGGAGTCGTGGGGATGTAAAAGGACCTACATACATATATATAATCGTTCGACAGCCAGTTCGTAGAAATACGAGTCACTGACCGTTGTGGGAAGGCAGAGGAGTGTGTCAGCGTAGCTACCGATAGGACAGGTTATCACATTCCCGATAGCTTTTAATCCTCAATCGAACAGCATGCAATCCGTGAAGCAGGTAGGTACTGAGCCTGATCGTTACCGTCTACGATCTCTGAAAAACCAGGTTTGCTAGAAAAAGGGCTAAGTAACTGCTCATCCGGACCGCTACCTGTCTGCCACCATCATAATCTGATTACAGAAATCCAGCACCACGGAAGATCAAACCGTAAAAGTAAATCCATTGCGGTGCCCGAATGACCTATTTCCCCTCCAGGAAATTCCTGACCGCGGAAATAAACAGACGATCTGAGTCGAGTCATCGCGGTGCTGTGGTGGATTAGTGTAAAAAAGTAACGTAACTTCTCAGCAGAATCCTGGAAATGTCCGCTGGTTGCTGCCTGTTTCACGTTGATTGATCTAGGGTCAACAGTCGGATTGCCAGCAAAGTATGCAGCGCTTAGTATGTCAGTGGGGTGAATGTGGAATAGTCATTAGCTCGTCTGAGTAATAAATGAACGTCCTAGGTAGCATAGAATCCTCGCTACCAAAAAAGGAAAGGGAAAAGTGTGTTTTGATAAAACGTTTTTCCAAATATCTACAATAACCCTCTGCACCAAGTCGAGAATAAGCAATATTTTTTTACCATAGCGGGGGAGGGGGGGGGGAGGGCGGGTGAAGGGAGTAAAAGGATCAATGTCTACTTTCAGAGAACCACAACAAGTAAATACTAAACACAGACGAGACGATACAATGACAGCTGAAGGGTCGTTTCGACCACTTTAGGTCGTAGATGAGTGCACAGCACTATCATTGAAAATCGAAGGTGTAACCACTTTCCCAGGTGGGATGGAAACGGGTGACTGACGCCGTTCGAATGACGCCGGTGACTGTTCACCGTCTGAACGAAACCATCTCGTAAATCAACCCTGATTATGTGGTTGACAAAAGTTACAGTAAAAAAAAAAAAAAACACACACACCAAAACAAATCAAATATCAGCCCCTTTTACATAAAACGGAGTGCTGCTGGCAACGTAAAAAATGAATGAGAAAGTGTGTTATATTTTTATCTTCAGCGTTAAATGCTGATAAATGTCAAAAATAAAAGATATCCTCACTGCGCTATCTTTGCCTTGAACCTCACCGCTCTGCAATGGCCCATTATCATGTTTGTTGAATGTTGAATGGAATGGACAAAGCCGCGTACGCGTATTACCCGAATCGCGTTTTCTAGCCTGCTGACAAGAAAGAAGCTAAGACGCTAGGTCTTTCGCGCGATTGATCTGCCCTTGAGCACAGCTCACTAGCAAGAGCGCGTGCCAAATCAGGGAGAAACGCAATCTTCATGCAGTTTCTTTTGCCTCTCTCTACTCGCCGTGCGAGTCTCTCCTTTACCGCAGCGGTTTGTGTGACCTGCGCTCGCGTCTCGTACGACCGCAGCGCAGCGGAAGGGGAGGGAGGGGAGGGAGAAATGCACGGCCTAGCGGTCAGCGGTCGGTGGTCGCTGTCGGCGCGGTCGGGGCTCTGGGAGACGGCGCCGAGAGCAAAAACACGGCGGTAACGGACGGAAGGCGCTCGGCGTGCCGCTGTCTCCGACCCAGCCGCGGCCAGCAGCCCGCTGCTCTCCCACGAGTGCTAGATACACCGCGCTATTCCCACTCTTTAACATGCGTTCTGCTGTTGAATAGATCACCACAGTTCATAACCAAAAGATGAAAGTCACCACATTAGTTGCAAAAGTTGCCAGTTTCTTGGTTGTAATGCAGGGCTTTCTTTTTGTTTCAGGTGCATCCGGAGATTCTTCACAATTGTCCGGCAGCGCTGCCAGCCCCTCCTCCGCGGCGGCCCTGGATGTGTCGGAGGGTAGCGGGAATGGACTTGTGAGGGCAGAGACTCGTCTCAGCTCCCCAACCGTCGCTGAGGATGAGTCAGATGCTCAGGATAGCTTTGCAATGGAGCTGCTCAGTGCCGTTGAGCTGCACCTAGGTGGTGATGAGGGCAGCAAAGGACGGGGCTCAGTTGCAGAGGTAGCGCTGGACAACAGCGAAAATATCGAGGACGAACAGCTACTCGAAGTGGTGCCGGAAAACGACAGCGCATCGTTGTCAACATCTGTGGAGGGGGAACCAATCAAAGCTCTGCCACCAGCTTCATCAGAGACGAGCACCAGTCCAAAGTCCAGTACAACCATCACCGCTACCAGCGACTCGCCTGACGTTACAGCTACACCGTCGCCTACCACTGGCTCTGACGTCAGTACTGAGGCGGTGCCAGTAACCTTGAGCCAGGAAGCGTCGATGGAATCTTCATCAACAGTGGTAACATCTGCACCATCAACCACCGAGTCAGCGCCTTCAACTGACTTCACCGCGACCACCGAGACCGTGGGCGAGGCTCGATCGTCCGATTCGACACCCTTGTCTGAGGAGGCGTCCGAGGCTGCTGGGCCCACCCCTCCGTCCGACGGAACGGGAACCACGGCTTCCGACGATTACAGCAGCACTCCCGAGGACGTCAGCTCCTGGAGATCGGCTGGTATCACCACAGGTATCACTACTCCGTCTGACGAGACCGGTGACACGCTACCTCCGTGGACTCCCGAGCCCAGCTTCGAGACACCCACCGGACGTCCTCTTCGGAAGAGCTCCCGGCGAGGCGACCCGGACATTCACACCGTACTCAACAACATCCTCAGCATCATCGGCGGTAACGTGCGCGTGCGCGGCCAGCCGGCGCCTTCACTCCAGCCTCCTGCCAGCGGAAGCAACCGGATCAACAACCGCGGACCACCGCAGTTCGTGGCCGGCACCGGGCCGGGTCCGCTGCCGCCGCCGCGGCCGCTGGTCGGAGGACTTCCACCCACTCAGGTGGCACCGCCGCCACGGAGGAAGACGACGTCAGAGAGGGTGCCAAATACCGCCCCTGCAGGACTGGTCGCAGTGGCAGGGAGCCCAACCGTGTCGCCAACCCCGGTACTGACTTCGTCCGACGCTTTCCTGCGGACCAGTGGTGGATCGGATGTCAGTCAGACTCCATTGAGCTCACCTTCTCCGACTCGGGAGGTTACAAAGGCTCCCAGTTCAGCTCTGCCGGAGCGGGATACCACTTCGATGGACAGCGATACAACCAACACCTCACCAATCCCGACTAGGAGTACAACTGATAACGAGCCTAGCGCAACCGACAGGGAGACGACGACAACCGACGCTGACATCCCTCTTCCGCCCACCATTCCGACCAGTGTGACATCAGCTGGTGCAACAACTGTTGAATCTGTACCAATCACAGCCACGGGCGATGAGAAGGGAGCGAAAACAACTCCGTCATCAGCCACGTACCCAGCCTTACCATCACCAACTGATCCTTCCAACATTTCGGAAACCGAGTCAAGTGGAACTGCGAAGCCAATTGGCGAACCGGCACGGTCCGATCCAACCGACCAGCCTACGGATACCCCAGCAACCACTGCAGTGGCGTCACTCTCGGCTCTGCTCGGTACTTCTTCCGATCCTGACACTTCATCTGCTGAGGAGACTTCTCCTAAACGCCCCTTCATGCCTGTCAGACCAGCCTCCATACCACCCCTCACGAGCCGACCCCGCAGACCACTCCGACCAGCGTCTTCTTCCCGTCCTGCTTCCCTGTTTGAGCGTCTGAGAGAATCTATGAAGCCAACAGCAGCGACGGCATCCAGGCCGCCCCAGAGAAGACCATGGCCTCCTCCAGCGGACGAAACGGATCAGACTACAGGTGACAGCCGCGATGAAGAAGAGACTACGGTTTCCTGGACTGGGACGTCGGAGAGTGCTGATATGCTGGCTGAGGACTCGATGACAACGTTCAGCGTGGGAACGGAGAGTCCTCTGACGACCCAGATGGAGGTCCAGACAACTGCGCCGTGGGAGATCACCACTGAGACCACGCCTGGTACGACAGAGGAAGGCACCGCTGCGAGTGAAGGAAGCGACAACACCGTCACAGACCAGCCGACAGGAACTCCGTCCCCTGCCGACCCCGATTCGACCACCACAGCCGCCACGGCCGACACATCGCCTCCGCCGGCCCCGTCCTCCCTGGGCGTGGGCACTGCCGTGGCCGTGTCCGCCGAGGACCTGGTCCGACCGGCCTCCCCGCCCAGCCGGTGGCCCAACGGCCGGCCGGGCATGACGTCCCGGCCCCGGCCGCCGGCGGCCACCCCGCCTCTGGCCGCCGCCGGCCGGCCCGGCCTGGTGCTGGACGCCGCCGCTCCGCACCGACCGGCCGGGGTGCGGCCCGACCAGCGGCGTCCCGAGCCGGTCATACTCACGGCGCCGACTCCGGCCGTCGGAGACGTGATCGACGTGACGGTATCGGCAGTGCATGGTCTCGGAACGGGTCCCCCGCCTCCACCACCGCCCTCCCGTCAGCCCACCAGAGCTCCGACCCAGGAGTCGACCCAGCCCTCCGCCTCCACGGGACAGCCTTACGTCATACCAGGTGAGAAATGCATTACGTTCGGCAATGGAAATGATAGATTACGAGCCGGAAGTCATCAATTACGTAACGCTGCAAACGTACTTAATTTCGCCCCTTCGAACGTTCATAAAACAGCACGGTTACTTAACAGTGATCATACAGATACAGGTGTAGCTAAGAGACACTGGAAGTCCTAAACAGCCCTCATTTAAAGAGCCATTCGTGACGCTCACGATCTGATTCACACGACTAATTTGATAAACGGCCTTTTCTCAGTGGACATCAACGAGCTGCGTCAGCCGGGCGGCATCATCACACGTCCGAACCCGTCCGACAGCTTCGTCTCCATCGACGGCCGCCGGACCTACTTCAACCTGGAGCCGACTGATGTCGACCGACGGGGCAGCTATCAGGTAAGGGGCAACGCATTCAGGGACAGCGAGATGCCGTTAGAGGGAACGCGGCAGTCTGCTGGATTGCAAAGGTTACCTTGGGAATTTCAAATCAATGTTTACCACTGATGACCAGCTTGACTCTGAATTCCAAAAGGAAATATTTTACCCTGAACAAAGGTGATGTCAAAGCCACTATTTTGCTACTGTTTGTCTTGCATTCAATGAGCTCATGCATGCATCTACCGTAGTGCTCATGCAGCTACCGTAGCAATGACTGACTGCGTATGACGAATCTTGTGCCATTTCCAGACCGTGGGCGCCGGTGTTGGTTTCGCCGGACAGGCGGTGCCACAGCCTCCAGGAGCGGCCTCTCCGTCCTGGGGCGGTCGGCCGTCCAGCGGTGGCAGCTCTCCCAGCCCGGGCGAGCGGCGCTCCGACCGACCTGTGACCCGACCCGGGAGCAGACCCGGTCAGAAGACAGGGTCACCGTACCCCGGTCTGCGACGGAGGCCGTCCCCGCCACCAGTCAGGTCAGTGATTCTCAGAGCAACACACAGACTGGCAGCTTTTTCGGTTAGTTGAGGTAGGTATTTGTGATGTACAAATGAATCGTTTATCTAATGTGGATATATGTAACATTTGCTATGATTATATTCAATCATATTCGACGATTGTGTCTTGTCGCCGAGGCTAAGTTAAAGGGACCTTTGCATTAGTTCTGAGTTGAGATAGCCAAGTTGGCGGCCAGGTTCAGAAACCACTATATATCCTGGTCGCAATATCCTCAGTTTCGTGGTGTTAAAGAAATTCGTTCCCTTCATTTGAAAAGTGGGCCTTAGCTAAGGCCCTATCTCTTAACTATTAACGGCCATTTGATGACGTCATTTGCATTTTGAACGCCTGTCACGCATGTGAAGTTTCACTTGATTTACGAATAAGCTAATCAGAGACACTTGTTATTGTATGAGCCGCGTCATATTTGAGAGCAAATACCTGTATTTGCTGCCAAATTTACCCCACATTGACATGAAGTAAATCCTTCATTACGTCACAGATCAGATCTAAATGACGTCACGATGAAATATAAAAGTCGCAATATCTCAAAAAGTATACAATGAAAAAAAGCGTAAAAACTTGCAGAATTCGTCACAATATCATAAGTAACATTTCCGAATCCTAAATGGTACTTTTTTGAAGGTGGGATAGTCCCTTTAACGCCTTCCAACAGATCTTCGAAGTCGGGTCATCATGCTAACGTTTTGCTCCTCACAGGATCGACACGTGCATTGTGGGCGACGACAGCACATGTAAGAAGGCGTTCAACGAGCGCTGCCTTACCGAGGACGGCGTCTCCTCGTGCGTGTGTCGGCCCGGCTACAGCCGACTGCGACCCCGCACCGTCTGCAAACGTGAGTCAATAACTTCTCATCTTGTCAATCCGTTTCACTTTCTGATGAATTTTCCATTAAGCTGTAACATTTTAGGAATATTTGGCCGTATCGTGAAACCCAGAGCCGATGATTAGCGTCTTTAGAGACGTCAGGATATGACACCAGTCCCTGAACCTATTTTCTCCCACAGGCGTGGTGTCGGTGGTGATGTCGGTGAAGGTGGACGGCGTGGACGGACAGCGTCTCTCCTGGGACTCTGACTTCAGTGACCCGCAGACGGAGGCCTTCCAGCAGCTGGCCTGGGACGCCAAGAACGCGGTCAGTGTCAACAGTCTATGATGGCTGACGAAAAACCATTACGTAGGGCGTTTTATTTAAATTCGAATTGATTACGGAGGGCGTAGGGTATTATTTAGTCGACACCTTGCATGCACTTAGCTCCATGCGGTGTTGTCGGTTGACGTACTGATCCTTCAATCGGGCTGTTTGGCGATCAGACAATCTAACCCTGGCCACTTTCACCCAACTAAAACTGATTTTCTGTCTCGCCGCAGATCAACTCCGCCATGACGCAGACCACCATGAAGGACATCTACATGGGCAACGCGGTGAACTCGTTCTACTCGCTCGGCGGCCGTCTGATCCTGAACACGACGGTCAGTCTGCTGGACACGCCACAGACCCGACTGCGGCAGGTGAAGACCGAGCTGCAGCGACAGATGCTCCGCGTCATCAAGGCCAAGGATAACAACATTGGAGACTCGACGCTGTTCGTGGAGGGTCCGCTGAACCCCATACCGGGCGTGCAGGGTGAGTGAGAGGTCGTTTGATATTGGCGGATTGAATGGAAGTGCAGTCGAGCAGGCAGGGTGCTCACATGCTTGTAGTTCACTTTTGTATGCTGTTGACTGATAGCTGGGACCTCATATTCGTTGATATCATCACACATTCAACGGTGATATCGATGCGATTGATAGACTTCGCTCTAATGAACGCTGGGACATATTTACTAAGCATCAGCTGTACAAATGTTATAATGTGCTTCCGTTGGCGTATACCATAAACCATTTCTGACCACTTTTTCCAGATCTCAACGAATGCAGCGCGCCTGAGCTACATGACTGCGACGAGAACGCTGTGTGCAGCAATGTGTTCGGAACCTTCCTCTGCCGGTGTCGGCCCGGCTTTGACGACAGGTGAGCTGATTTGGCTTCTTGTGAAGGAAGGATGTGGCTTAGTGGAATAAACGCAAGTGAGGACGGCTGCTAGCTACGTCATTGGAAGACAGAAAGTGCTTTTTCCAGAGCATTTTAAAGCTGGTCTTCAAGCTGAGAATGTTCCGTCATTGTTTTGACGACTCGACGGTTCTTGCCCGCCCCATCTAATCGACCGATTTTACCACAGATATCGCAGCGACGTGGCGCGTGCGGGTCGGGCCTGTGCCTCCTGCTCTGACGACTACTGCGGAGGCCACGGCACGTGTCAGATCAGCGACGGAGTCAAAACCTGCCTGTGAGTCAGCTGTTTGTGCTGCTTATCTACATAAAACTGGAACTGATTGAAATAGCGATTAGTGATCACGACTTTAATCACGATTTATCTGTTTCATCACGTTATAGTTATTACTGCATATGCCAATTATGGAAAAGAAATGTACCTAATTTGAATTATAATTTTGCACGGATGATATGCAGAGTGCAAACAGTTCTGCAGCGGTATTTGTCCGTGTAGTTCTTTTTTTCCTGTGACGTTTTCCATGTTTTCACTGTTATGCGTCTATCCAACAGGTGCCGCGGCTCGTACTACGGCGCTCGCTGTGACATTGACGGTGAAGTGCTGGGCGCCGCTCTGGGAGCCACGGCAGCAGCCGCGCTGGTTATCATAGCTACCTTCGTCGGACTCTGCCAGTGGAGGTAAGCCCAGAATTAAACAACAGAATGAAAACATCAATTATCTTTCTGTACTCGCTCCTGTTTTGATGCCGATAAAGCGAGCTGTATTGCTTTTCTTGTGTAGTGCCGTCAATAGATGGCGCCAGAGTCAAAGGCCGTAAGTTATACTGTACCGCATAACACACTGAGCTTGCAAGCCTCTCGCTAGATGGCAGCAGTAGTGAGCGCCTGCGAAGATACTGTGCCGCATGGCTATGTTTTGTAACCGCTGCATGGTTCGTACGACACGGGACGGTTGAAAGCAGTGCTTGCTTGTTATTTGAGTTCTTCATGGCTGTCATCTACAATAAATCTGCCATTAGCCTTACTGTTTATCATGCTACCACCACTGACGTTTCTTCACTGATTTCGCAGCAAACGCTGGCACAAGGGTCGCGGCCGCAGCAAGCTGGAGCTGGGCACGATGGGCGCTGCCAACACGTTCAATTTCGTGAAGCCCGGACCCGGCGGACCGCAGCCGGCCTATGCGCTCGGCATGGACGAGCGAATGCAGTGGGGCCGGCCCGGCGACAGCATGGGCCACCAGAATATATACGCGGTGAGTGCAGCCGGGCGGCGTGTTATTTAACCCCAGAGGGAATGTTCTATCACCTCAGCTAGCAAAACGTACAGTGCATGTTATTGTTGCTTGAGCCTAGAATAATTAATTCGCTATCTTTTTTTAAAGTAGATATTTTTTACCCTTTCAGTTCCTTCCAGCTGTCCGTTTTTCTTCATTTCTCGTCGACGTTGAATAACTTTGTTTGTTAATTGTACCTTTAAACTTACTTTCAAAGTTTCAGGCGCTGTTGTATGATAATCTCTTTTTGTATATATCAACCATGTCACATTTGAGTTAGTTTCTGGTGTGACTAACAGTTCTAATCATGTGCCTTAAATACGCTGTTCATGTGATGACAACAGGAAAGTCAGGGAAGTCTTCGCTTACTCTGTTTTCTTTCTTCGAATCGAATCTTTGCATCTATATCGAAATGTGTACATATATAGATGACTAATCGCTTCTGGGAAAAAACGTCGCCCTTATCTAACGTCTATCGACAACCGACTGTCAAAGGAGCGGCTCCAGCCTCTGCCCCCGACCTCACCACTGACACTTGACAGGTCACTACTGACCTGACCTCGGCAGGTGCCCCTGACCTCTCTGATCCCCCTGCGACCTCATGACTGACGTTTGACCTCGTCACTGACCTTTGACGTCGACAGGTGCCCCTGACCTCTCTGCTCTCACCACCGACATTTGACCTCGTCACTGACCCTGACGTCGACAGGTGCCCCTGACCTCTCTGCTCTCCCCCGTGACGGTGACCGCCGCCGGTGGCGCCCTGTACGCCTCGGGCGACTGCCTGCTGACGACGGTGACGCGCCGCGATGACGCCATCAGCCGCGCCCTCTCACTCCCTCCCGAGCGGCGGCGTCGGGAGCGCAAATCGTTTCGGCTGCCGCGCGGGGTCACCAGTCGTAGCACGTGTCGGCGGCCGGCGGTCCGACCGGCCCCGTCGGAGAGCAGCGTCAGCCTGTCGCTGGCCGACGGGGCCGCGCGGCACAGGGCGCGGTCCAGGGTCGACTCCAGGACGGAGCCCGTGGTGGAGTCCAGCGCTCCGTCTCGGGCTCCGTCCAGGGCGCGGTCCAGGGCTCGCTCCAGAGCTCGGTCCAGGACCCGGTCCCGCGCCCAGACAGGCGCTGGGCTGCTCTCTGACGGTCACCGGTCGGGAACCGATGGCTCCCCACACAGACGAACCCGACAAACGGACAAAGTTAGTAACGCGATGACGGAGACGGGAGAGACGCCGCAACCGGAAGGACGGAAACGGGACAGCATCCAAAGGGGAGGCGGGACAGCACATATATGAGCTGGGGTTAAAGAACACAAGAGCATGACAGGACAGACCCACCGCAAAGACGACGGTGGATGCACGAATGGCTACGTTACGTTATCGGGAATGCCACAGCGAACTACCCATCACGGTTCGGCGTACTCCAGCAACAAACGGGAAGGACTTCGATCAAATTTGTGGGTTTTGTATGCGACACTATCCTGAGGATGCCGATTGAATGTACTCAACAGAAACGTTTGATAGTGGCTCTGGCTGACCTGACTCTCACGACAATGAAGCTTATAATTCAACCAACGACAACAACAGCACGAACGACTATACTTATTGTCTGCACATTATCTTCTACCTTTGGAAACGGGTCTTTGATGACTTGCAGCATGCCTTCTCTTCTTTTACTAACACGTATTTAATGACATTATTATGCATATGCTCGCGTACGCCAGATCGCATGAAGCATGCTTTTCAACGATGTTTTGTGCGTTTGCTTATTTGATTGCTCCGCAATAATTTTTGACCTTATGATACTTGAACACTTCTGTAACTTTGCATTAACTTCGTATAGTTTCTTATCTTCTTGTCTGACGCATTTATTTATAAATCAGTGAACAGTCGCATTTCACGTTCAGACCTTCACACGCTGTCTGACTCTGACCTGCCTTACCCCACAGCCGGAGCCAATGATGGGAGCCGCGGCTCCGCGCTCCCACCTGGGCCCGTACGGCTCCCGGGAGCAGGCCTTGTACGGCTCCCAGGTGCCCCTGTACGGCCCCAAGCCCACCGGGCAGGACGGGCCGGCCAGCCTCAACATCACAGGTGCGTAACAGCACACCTCATGGAGACATTACTGGTGGTTTTATTCTAAAATTGGCAATCTTAGGTTTAGCGATTTGAGTCTACATATTTTAAAGACACGCCTACATACTAATCACAGGCAAATGTGTGATTGTCGTTCTACAACCATCCCGGCGAGTTCATCTGGTGACATCTGTTGACCCTCTTTGCCTCCGTCGCCAGCCGGCCGCACCTCGTACCCGGCCCACATCCGTCGAGCGCGCACGCCCGGCGCGCTCAGTGAGCGGGCGGCGCCGTCTCGCGGCTCGCGCACCCCGGTACCGCTGCCAGACTACGACGACGACGAGCGAGAGGAGCGGCAGTCGACGGCGCGCGGCTACCCGCCCGTGCCGCGGCCGCGCTCCCGCGGCTCCGTGGCGGTACGTCTACTCACACCACATGCTTTCCGTACCGTGTTTACGCCCTAATATCACGGCAATAAGACGTCATTACAGACGAAGTTTAGAGAGCTCTATTGATGTCATTATCAATAAATTGACTACATAGACAGAAGCAAATATTACGTAACATTAGAAACGAATTATGCTTTTACGGTGTCACCATACTGGTGACTAGTGGTGTCAATCGGTTACCAAAATTTCGGTATACCGATACCGAACCAAAACCGATTCGGTATTCGGTATGATATACCAAAAGCATTTGGTATTTTGTCGGTATCATGAAAATCAACTACTGCCATAAAAGATTTGAAAGCATTTTTGATAAACCTTCTGAACTCAAAATTGATTTGCTAAATGACACTGGATGAAGAAAAAATGGCAATCATGACACATTTCTCCCAAATGCATGATGTCCTAACAAATGGGCAAACACATGAGCTGCAATATCAAATACATCAGACCACCAATGTTAAATGGCAACTTATCAGTTATCAGTGTTAGCAAATTCCAATACCATGAGGATAATTATCTTACAAAGAAAGCCAATGTGCAAGACATGAACATGAATTAATGTTTTACTCACTGTATATGCTGGAAAACATACTTTAACTGCCTTTCTCAAAATTTCCAAAGCATTTATTAGCAACAAATTTGACTTTGTTTTGAGGAGTCTGTGATTGATCTTGACCTTGTCTTGCTCTCCATTTCACTGCAATGCAATTACATTATCCAAAACCCTGTTTAATACAGCACTAGATTCACCATTATCATCTAATATTGAAGGCAGCATTTGTCACTTCATCATCATCCCACAAATCTTCAACTTCGCTCAACTTCAAAAGCCTCTGTAGTGAGCGATCCTGTCATGATCCTGTGGATAATTTATTTTCTTCAATTAGTGTTCTCTTTCCTGCTCACCTCAACAGATACAGATCGCTAGCAATGTTATCATAAGCATTAATAAAATATAATTGGTTTTTGGCTTGATTCGCACACAGCAGTTTCAAAACTGAACACATCTAAAAACATTTCAATGTCGCAGCTGCGCCAAGTACCGATGTAGCTCAATAGCTAATTGAAAATAATTGAACAACTTTGTTTTTCTGGTACTTCATTTTTCAGCAAAAACGGCCTACAAGCTTTTTTGAATTAATTTTAAGATGTCAAAATTTATACAAGGAATTTTGATTTAAGTGGACTTAAGGAAAAGAAAAGAAAAACTTTATTTTATACAGCTTAATGCAAATGGCCGCCGGCGCCGCCTCTAAGGCCGCCATTATGGAAGAGATGACACGTGACGTGTGTCAATGCTTCCGTAAAATTATGGACATTTTACTTAGATTTCATCGCGATATCATTACAGTGGTGTCTGCTATCTATCAGTGTGCCTCGTAAGTAATCATTTATCAAGTTTTGTTGTGTTAAACATTTGTTTATGAAGAAAAATTGGCTGCGTCAGTATCGTCACCAATCACCATGCTACTTGGGTTGAACGGTTGAACTGTAGGTATCATGGGTTTTGTTTACATTAATGGTGTAGCCCAAGGTGTAGCTCATCATTGTCAATGGGGTCACCACTTTTGGATCATGATAACACACTTAACCCTGTCTTGACCGGACTCGAAATGAATGACTGGAATTGAAAGAACGTTTGTTGGTTCAGGCATGGACAAGTTATTGTTCTAACACCTTATGCAGATGACTTGAATCCACATTCCAGTTAAATAACTGACCTGAATATTAATAGTTACAAAATACAGTTATGAATGTTTTTTTGCAGTGCAAATAGTTAAGAGGTTGCCTGATTTGTTTTTGTTCCCATATTTTAAAGTATTAGATACCTTTCAAGGCTAATCATATGTCTTGAGAAAGTTTGAAGCACATGTCTGATAATTCCCTGATTTCGGTATCTAGTCGGTATTCCCCCCTATTTCTGAAAATCGGTTCGGTTTTGGTATACTCTCAGTGGGTTTGGTCGGTATCGGTTTGGTATTGGTTTCCAAAATTTCTGAAATTGACATCACTACTGGTGACGGTAGCTTTTAATTAACTTTCTCACGCATGCTTACTGCTGATTGACACTTTTATGTCTCCTTTGACAGAACCAAAGTCTGGTGTATTACGACATCCACGACTTTGAGCAGCGCGAGACGCTGCGAGGCCCGGGCCGGGGGCCACCTCCCATGTCCACGTACAGCAGTAGAACCAGCAACTACTTCCGGTAGAGGAGTACTGCTTAGCGGGAGTGGCCTAGCCGACCAAAGATACACCGCTCACGCAGCGTGGACTCAGTGCTGAACGGTCAGTGGGTGCATTGTGCGGCGACACGAACAATGTGTCTCATCGATATTGTGAGACAGTGAGTCGGCAGTGTCTCATCACTGAAGCAGTGAGCTGAAAGCGCCTCATCAATACCGTGCAGTGGCGTTGCTATTGTCTCACCGATAAAGTGAGCCAGTGAGCTATTATCCCTCACAGACACAGTTCATGGTGCTGATTAGGGACGATGAACTATTCGCGGGAAAGGTGTCACATCCAGTACGTGAGGTCTTCCCAGTGACATGCACAAAAAGTTCGCCGAACTGATCTTTTAAGATCGGTAATGTATATGAATGTGAAGATAAGACTGAGAAGATAAGACATCATGCTGTGTCGGCATAGATGATTGTAGTAACTACAGTCTACAGTTGTCTGTGATTATGTCTGTACTGTTGATGACTGCTGTTTTGTGAAGTATTTTACTTGATGTTTCATAGTGTTTGTGCGTTCATAATATTTTGCTATCGTTAAATGACGTGGAAATACTTTTGTGAAATATGATGTCATGCAATTGTAATACATATTCAATCATAACGCAGTCCGAAGGCATCCCGCATTCCGCCCAGAAAGCGCTTTTAGGAACGGCTAATTAATCGGAGGTAAAACGGTTTTCACTGAATCATTTCCACTACCGGGAAACAACAACAGCAAAGCGTGATTTCAAGCATGACAAAAGCAGGCAGAGAAGAGGGAAAGGTTTGCCTACCTGACCCTAGCAAATGGGTCGTGCACATCTTTACTCGTACACATCGCAGTATGGCGTTTCAATGCATGAACGCTTGATTTCTTAGTTCGGTTACTATACTGACTTACTCGTTGCTTCACATGCACATGCAGCCGCCCGTCTATCTCTTAGACAGCTCTCCCCCGCTCCCATCCACGAGTCCGGTGACCCGACCCCACGCCGGACACGGGGCGCGTCCAGGGGAGGCAGACGGGGGCGACTGCGGAGTGAGGAGCCCTCTGCTCTCAAACTTGACAAACCACGATTAATAGCCGACTTTATTTGACAGGGCATGCATCAGGTGGAATTATATTTTCAAGCCCGGTTGACAAAGAGGGGCAACGTGGCAGGATCGCAGGACTAGGTGGCCAGTAATGCGTACGATTTATACCATCAGCACCCGCACAGATCAACGTAAGGATACATGACATGTCCATTATCCACCCGTCTTACCAACTCTCCATACTTCTCAGCCCCTCCTCCACGAGACAGACAAGAAGTTCACGATATCTTCGGCTATCGCATTAGCGTACTCACCTACCTCTCTACCCAACCTTTCTAATATTGCCGGTAGTGTTAAGCCACCACACACCGTTCGCCTAGGTCCGACGGTCGGGCACTCCGTCACTCCCGGGCCGGCCGGTCACTCGTCACACTCCAGACCCGCTCCTCGAGTCCGTGCAGCTCGCTCCACTCCTGCTGCCCTCCCTCTCCGTCCACGGTGATCACCTCGAGCGTGTGACCGGCCGCTGACGGCTGCGACTGACGGGCGGCCAGCTCCAGCGCCTCGTCCAGAAACCGCTGCACCCGCTCCCGGTAGTCGAGCGTGCTGGTGTCGGCGCAGAGAGGGTTCATCCGCGCTACCTGACAGTCGGCCAGCGGACGCGGTACGCCCCGCAGCAGGTCCGGCCCGCCGCCCGCCGGCCTGGTCACTGAGGCCTCCGGCGCGCGCCAGCCGCGCCAGGCCACGCACGCCGTCACCACCGACCAGCCGAGTTCGAGCAGCGCCGTCACCAGCAGGTTGGCGCTGGCGGCCGACAGGGACTGACGCCGCTCGTGCTCGGCCGACAGCGGGGCGGTGAACGGGTCGGCGGCGGCGGCGCGACGGCGCTCGTCCAGCGCCAGCTGCCGCTCCACCAGTCCGGTGACCGTCAGAGCGGCCAGCTGAGCCGCGCCGGCCGCCGACGCCGCCGACAGCACGCAGAACCAGCGGATGTGCGCGTTCTCGTACCAGCGGCGGCCGGCCAGCGCGCCGCTGGTGCCGGTGACGGCGAACAGCGCCCAGATCCAGCCGGCGGCGCCGAGCCGCTGAGCGTCCGGCTCTAGCGCCAGCGCCAGCGCCCCGAACAGCAGCGCCAGCGCCGCCAGCACCAAGTGCACGCCGCCCAGCCCCAGCACCGTCTCGGCCGAGTACTTCTGCTCGCTGGGCGGCACGGCGGTCGTCGCCGGCGGACTCCGTAGGCGGATCACGAATATCTCCTCCATAGCCGACAGCAGCGCCAGAGGGGACCCAGCGGGGAAGCTCGGAACTAGTGATTCAGAAAGGCGACAGAGTTGCAGCTATTGTAAGTTACGGCGTGTATGGTGTGTGGAGCACGGTCGCCTTTAGGAGATGTAGCTCTTTTTTAAAGTGCATGAAACGGTAAAATAACGCCATTATTTTGTTCTTGCGTTACTTCATATATTCTCACCAGCGTCTGCCGTTTTCGTCACGTACTTTGACCACACCATGCCACTTCACTGCCACTTTTCACTATCACAGCTCGTTCTTGCGATCTCCTCGCCTCTACAGAACCACCGGGTGAGTTACAGAGCGCACCGTTTCTACGAGCTCTCTTCACCCCCTTACTCAGCTCGACTCTAACCACAGTCCACGCAGCTCGTCACTCCATCTCCGTCTGTCCCCTCCACCCTCACTAGGAGTACAGTGGCGCCCCGTTCAGGTACAGCCGGCGGCGCTGCTCGAGCTCCCTGGGCGTCATCCGACAGCACGCGGACGCCACCATGCCGATGACGAGCAGGATGACGTTGATGACGCCCAGACACACCTGGCCGCCCCCGAGCACGTCGACCAGCAGTCCCGAGTGGCGGCGCGCGCCCAGATGGCCGATGATGATCAGACCGATACTGGCCAGCAGGCCCAGAGTCGAGATGGCCAGAAAACCTACCGACGGCACAAACGGCGCGCTTATTTAACTGTTACCATTTATGTTATATTACCATGTTATCTATGGATCTACAAATTAATAGGTAGGTGAGCACTGCAAGTCGGCAAGTATGACAGTGATCAAGCGGTTGACTTAAAATGAGAATACGAGAAATGGTCGGCCGCAATTAATGTAGGCATTAATTAATATAACCATATACGAGGTGGCCGTGGTACGATGTGACTAAACCAGGCCCGACTAAGTACGATAACGGTCTGTTGAATACCGTACAAATAACTATCCGCTAATCTACGCAGAGCCAAACGGTTTCATTCAAGACTTATGTTACACATGTACATTCTGATAACGTATCGTTATCTTTAATTCAACATAACAAAGTAGTGTATGAGCGACATACGGCACCGGTTTATCCCCATTGTGCTCCATGACCCATTGTTCTCTGATCAGCGTCAGCCTGACATGTCGGAAAAGCACTGACCCGTTCCTGATCTCCACGGCAGAACTCTAATGCATGACAGTTCAGGGTCGTCATACTGAAACAGTTAGATTACAGCTAAGTGAAACAAAGATGTGATCGACTGGTTAGGGAAATCCGTTAGGGATGAGGGATATAGTGCCATTCGCATGTATAAAAGACCGTTCTAAGTCATTCATACCTATGTGAAGACCATTTACCGTGCGTTGGTTACACTCAGATCACTTACCAGGCCTATTTCTAAGTCCTACGAATCATTTCCTTCAACAAAATTAGTTTTGATTAATGTAGATATAGTGGCCTTACCTCGGTAGATGCAAACAGCCTTCCGCACGCTGTGCTACCCAGAGAGGAAGTGTGACACGGCCCTGCACTAACGGCGGGCCTCAGCCCTTCTAAGGCTGCCAAAATCTATCACCGCCGCGCCGGTCGGCGGACACCAATATAACGGAGCTGTGACTGACCCGGAAGCAGACCAGGGCTGACCAGCATCGCCGAGGCTACGAGTCAAATAACCCGTTATTCATTGTTTTCATATGATATAATAACTGATCGACTGTATCAGCAGTGCTAGAATGCAGCACTGGGAAATCATCTCACCTCTGACGACTGTGTTGCTGCCGAATCGACGGGCGGTCAGAATTCCCGATACTCCTGTCCAGAACACCACCGTACCGGAAATAGCAGCCGAGCCGATATAAAACTGACTGCTGCCCTGTAACAAAATGAAACCGTAGGCTGTTAGGAACTAAATCTACCCTGCTGAGGAAAGTCGGACATATGTTTCATCTACTGCATACATTTATGCAGCAGATGAACGGAAAAGCCAATGATGACTTCGACGGACACACAAAATGTGATGAATAGAATGGAAACCTCATACGGTATATATGTGACTTGAGTGATATTGACTACCAAAAAACAGCCCAAAGCAGAAGATGGTATCACGCCTAAGATATCAGTATCATATTCAGTTATGAGCTTAGTATGTACAGTCCACAGCAGAAGTAATGTGGGGTTTCAGTCGTGGGTATGTTCTGCTTATGAAGCTTAGGAACGATTAGCCAGACTACAATGAAACTTTGAATGTAGCTTATATGTATCGTCACCCTTGTAGCTGCAACTTTAGCTATTGACATCTTCTTTTCGATCACTCCGCATTAAACAATCGCCAGTCAAAGCCAACCGTTGAGATTGGTAAAACCCTACATTACTTTAGCGGTGGGCTGTACCTAACCCTACGATCACCCCCTGTATCCACCAAGTATATAATTTCCCAGCGCACGCTCACCTTAAGTAGGTATCCGTAGACGCCGAGCAGCGCGGTGGCCAGGCCGCAGAGCAGCAGAGCCACGCCCACAGCCAGCGTGATGTTGGAGACGGGGTCCCTGCGACTCACGTGACGTACCACGGGCACGTCGCGGCCGCACGGGCAGCGGCCCAGCGCCGGCTGCCGGTCCGGTGTCCAGCAGCCGGCCGCCGACACCTGCCGGTCACAGCCGGGCAGCCGCGCACGCTCCGGCTGCAGGCTGTTCACACCGTGCAGAGGGATACTCTTGGCGTAGCTGGAGCTCTTGGTGAAGAACACATTGTCGCAAGTGTTGTTGGCCACGGTGTTGTCGACCTTCTTCATGCCGGCCGAGCCGGGAGCCGGGTGTCACACCGCTCACTGTGTTGTTCGAACTCTGGTCTCGTCACATCCACTGCACTGCGGCCCGTGCAGCCCGCCAGCGCAGCGGGCCGGCCCGCACGGGGGGCGGCGCAGTGTGCTGTCATCCCCGCCCGGCGGCCCCCACCCGTGCCCCGCCCGGCGAACTGCCGCCGGCGGCGGCGGCCCGCCAGTCGACTGGGCGGGGTGCACCCACCGCTTCCGGTCCCACTTCCGGTCACCTGGGGCCGGGACAGGGGCGGGGCGGGGGCGGGCACATAGCAAACATGCATGCCAGGCACAGAGCGGTTCACTGCGCAGACAGTCGCCGTTTGTGTGCTTTGTGTTATCGAATCATATCTGTATTGAACGTCAGACTCGGACTGTATCTATGTCGTTTGAGAATTGAGACCAATGTTAGCAGACTGAGATAATGGTCGGGTCAAGGTCAGGTAAAAAAGACAAAAGTCTTCATAGCTAGTGAAATCTCAGAATAAGATGCCTATTGGTTTTGGATATAGATTGAGGTCAGGAGTCCAATAGCGTCAAACATTTTTCGTACGCGTCTAAAATTCCGACAAATGACATTTGCAATAGTCACGTCATCATTGAGAACAATATTGGGAGGAAAACACACGTTTAAGGTCACTCTTGAAAGGCTTTTGTGAAACCCGCTGTGCAGTATGGTCCGCAGACCCTGTTGGGTAGCCAATTGACCTCCCTCCCGTCCTCCGGCACCTGACTCCGTTTCCTAACAGGTCGGTCCGTGAGTCCATTTGGCTCCCAACATCCACCAACGTCTCAGTCTCCTGTGACAGGTCAGCTCCGCTCTCCTGGCGGTTCACTGTGGATATCCACCGTCAGGGACGTGGGTGTTCGCTGATCGGGAGAGCTCTGAGAAAACCGCACGCTCGGCCATCGCCAGGCGCGGCGCCACCTACATGCCCTAAGCTCCACCGCAGGGTTCGCCCGCTAGCCGTCAGATAGCGCTCAGTCAGTGCTCCCACAAATTGCAGTGATAGCCTGATTATCTAAGCCTTCTTAGAAGGGTAGCACACATTTCACAGAACCTGCCACCTCATATACTTGTCAATAGCATTTGGTGCCAGTTTCAGGAAAGGCTAGGTCCAATGTCCGTCCAAATGTCCAAAGTCCTGGCCACTTTTTGTCCGAGCCAAAGAATGGTTTTGTCCTAAAACTGTCCGAAAACTTGATACAGGAAACAGTGGCGCTAGTTTCCGAACAAAGAAACGTTGTGAATCTGTTTTAAATGCTAGAATAAATACCTACGTCAGGCGCGCACACAGGATTTTTGAATGGGGGGGGGCACGACCTTCGAACTGGGCCCCCCCATGCCGAAGGGCCCCCCCCCAAAAAAAAATACGGCCCACGGGGCTATATTTCGGTTGGTTTGAAGCTTGAGCAATTGGTTTGTCAATGCATGGTAAAACAATTATTTCGGTACCAGCTTAATTTTCAAAACATATATATTTTTACGCTAGGCTGTATTTTCTCAAATGCGACTCAGCGCCGGTACATATACCTAATCATCTAATTTATTACGTAAAACATTTCATTAATAAACATTTTTGCAGGTCCCTCAGAAATCAGCCCCGGACAGCGACTGACTGCCGGCCGGCCGACCGGCCCCGGGTGGCTAGAAGCAGGGGCCGGTCACTGTTTGGCCCAGACGTGTAGGAGCGGGAGCAGCACTCCTTTTTCACGTATATTCGCATACTTTTTTTAGGCACATCGACATGAAATGTCATTATATCTGATACGATGCGGGATCACAGACTAGAGATCCAGCTTATAACTTATATTTAATGCTTAAACAATGAATCAAATCAACAGGGCTATGTACGATGCATGTCGGACACGTACCCAGAATTTCGCCCAAGAGGGGGTCACCTGCTGGTCACCTGACCCCGGGCCCGCGAGTCACCCGGGCGCCCGGGGTCAGCTCAGGCAAGGATGTACCCAGGACCTTTCGATGGGAGGAGGGAGGCACGGTGGGTCCAGTCTCACTGGCAGACGGGTCTCTTTAAAACGGTCTTTGCATGAGAAAATGTGGAAAATTGGCAAGCGAAAGTATCATTTATGCCCGAGGAGTGTGCCTAATATACACTAATGCCTAATTTGCATGGTATTTTACGAGCGAGCGAAGCGAGCGAGCTCCTTAAAGTCACCGGTGTGTGGCGCGTTCAGAGGTGCCAGTGAAAGGCCGTCAGATGCGCTGGTGTTGGGTCCTCACAGGCGCCGTTGCGGGGTCTTAGGGCTTAGAGACACTGGTGGGGCCATCATTGGCATGTGTGTGGCCCTGCAAAATGGCCTGCAAGTGGAAAGTGGCCCGTCATAGGCTGGCAAGGACACTCGGAGGCTGGTGAGAGGCCCTCAGAGTCACTGGTACGTGGCCCTCAGAGGCGTCGGTGTGGGGACTTTCAGAGCCGCCGATGTAGGCCTTTAAGATGCGCTGGTGGGGGTCCCTTGGTGGTGGGGCGAGGGGCCTCGCAGTTGCCGTTGTGGGTGCCTTTAGAAACACTGGTGTGGACCGTGTGTCTATCACAGACGGATGTGGAGCCATAGCAGCCAATCCCTCGTTGGCCGTTACTACTTAGGGCCCTTAGCGGCCGGCGAGGTCTCTCAGAAACCGGCATTGGGCCTTTATGAAGAAAATTGTGGCTACATAGGAGCCAATAACGTCCCCCCACAAGCCCTGTGGTGTCCTTCCGAGTTGAAGTGCGGCCAGCGCGAACCCTCTGCTACCAACTGGCGCCGCAGGGCCCCTCGGTTTCGAAGGAACCCTAAACCCGAGAACGGGCACGTACCCCCTCGCTCCCTTGCTATGTCACTGAATCCAAGTGATGGGACCCTTTAACCCGCGCCCCACTGGGGGGGGGGGGCTATTTATAGCCCCCCCCTCCCGTTTTTCTGCAATAACTTCCAAACCGCTTGACGGATCGACGCCAAACTTACAGTACCTTTGGCTGCATCAATTTGACACCTAATGTCAAAATTTGAACTTCGTAGCTACCATAGGTCGGCCGGAAATGACGTCAGAGTGACGTCATGTTCGTCCGATTTCGACGCAAAACATTGAACCACGGCAATCGCTCCCAAGAGCTCAGTTTTTAAGCTAGATCCAATTTCTTTGCATGAGAGGACTCAGAATTGACCGCGCTATCAAACTGCTATCTCGAATTTTCACAATTTTGAAAATTTCGAAAATTTGATATAATAATATTCAAAATTTGTATTTTTGTATTTTTTCAAAAAGTTTTTGACTTTTCGAAAAAACCGGAATATATGTGACAGAACGCATGATTATGACTAACTCTAGCAAGTTTTAGCTAAATATCTTCAAAAATGGCCAAGTTATACGCATTATTGTAAAAAATTCACAATTATTAATTTTTCAAATCAATTTTTCAGTACGTATTTGACATTGTACACCAATATAAATAGCACCATCGTGTTCCTGAGCTCAAACGGCATCCAATAGACACCTTTTTTTGTTGAAAAATTTTAACTTCAAAATTTGACCTTTTTTGACCTGAAAGTGACCTGACCTAAGCTAAATTCGACTCAAAATGACCTCGAATGACACAGAAGACATCAAATTCGAAATCTATGGCCTAAATGGACCATAAAACATGTGTCACGTGACCGACGCATGATAAAATATTTTCGTGACCTGTGATGACCTGACCTTGACCTGAAAATCAAAGTAAAAGCTTGGTACCCTCAGGGTATCTAGAGCATCTGTTTAAGAGTGTGTGTACCAAAAATGAGCCTGATCTGACTTGTAAGACGGCGGCCAGAGCCCAAAATGTGAACAAGCCAAAATGCTAATAATTTTTACTTTGACCTGACCTGTGACGTCATCGGTGACCTCGAGGTCAATGAAATTAGGTTTCGCTCGACAGTTTTTCCGGGGCTATCAGACGCCGTTTGAATTTTGACGATCGGCCCAGTAGTTTCGGAGTTAGGAGGGGGGGGGGCTATGAATAGCCCCCCCCCCCCCCAGTAGGGCGTGTTATACACAGACCCCAGTGGGGCGCGGGTTAAGTAATCAGGGGCGTTTCAGATGACCAGGGGTTTTCAATTGATCAGGGGCCCACCAGGTGACCATGGGCCCCTCTGGTAACCAGGCGCCCCTTAAGTAACCAGGGACCCCATCAATAACCAGGGCCCCTCAGTAAACGGGGGCCACTCAGGTAAGTGTAGGAGTCCCGCAGATAACCAGGGCCGGCAAGGTTTCTCAGGTCCGTTTTTTGACAAGGCTCTTATTGACTCAGGTGCGAGCCCTTTGCCATCAGCAGAGGGCCCTTGCAAGCCTTTTGAGGGCCGTTTAACGTCTCTTGAGTTCCCATTGAGGCCTTCTAAGGGCCCTTTGAGCAGTCAAGGGGCCTTTGAGGCCTTTTGAGGCTCTCTTGACGTCAGCTGAGGACCGTTGGACGCCAGCTGAGGATCGTTTTTGGGCCTTCTGATGGCCATTAGACGCCAATGGATGACCCTCTGACACCAACTGGGGCCCTCTGACACCAGCTAAGGGCACTTTAAGTTTGACGCTAGCTCAGGGCCCTCTGACATTAGCTGGGGGGCCCTCTGACGCTAGCTCAAGGCCCTTTTGACGCTCTTTAAGGCCTTCTGAGGGCCCCTTGAGGTCTTCTAAGGGCGCCTTGAGGCTTTTTGAGGGCCGCTTGACGCCAACCGAGGACCGTTTGAGGCCTTCTGATGGCCATTTGGCGCCAGCTGGGGGCCATCTGGCACCAGCTGGGGACCCTCTGTCACCAGCTAAGGACCCTTTAGTGCCTTCGGGGAGCCATTTGACGCAAGGGCATGGCCCTCTGACGCCAGCTCAGGGACCTTTGACACCCTTTAAGGCCTTCTGACGTCCGTTTGACGTTAGCTGAGGGCCCTTTAAGGCCATCTGAGAGTCCTTTGAGGTCATCTGAGGGCTCCTTAAGGCCATCTGAGGGCCCTTTGACACCATCTAAGGGCCCTTTGACACCAGATGAGGGCCCTATGACGCTAACTGAGGGCCCTTCGAGGCCATCTGAGGGTCTTTTGAGACCATCTGAGGG